ATGTTAGATTTCCCAGGAAATTTTGCATACTTATGGAGGCAGCAGCTTCAGAATATTTTTTTCTGTCATATTTTGCTTTTCAATTCAGGCTTACACAGAACAAAATGTTGATTGAATTCATGCATTATATAACATATTACATGATGTTTAGTAAAGTGCTTGCAGAGAGAGGTGAGAAAGACTTTGTACATAAAAAAAAAGAACACACAAGGCCATAGAGTCAGCTATCAGATGTATGCTGAAGGATTTATTGCTGTAGAAAGGGTGTACACAGAGAAGACAGATTATAAAAACAGTTTAGAGCTAATAAAAAGCTAAGAAATCCATGCTCATAAGTGCGTCTGTATTTTCTAACCAGCTTATGTTTATAATATAACTAGCTTATTGTTCCGTAAGTGAGAACCAGTCATCATGCCCCAACCGTAGCCAGCAAAAGGCATATTTCCTTTACTAGTACAAGTGGTTTTCATTTGTCTCTTGTATGCATCATGCCTTGTTTTGATTTACCTCTGAGTTTCTAAAACTGAACCTCATAGACACTTATAGATGCCCTTCAAATTGATATCGACCAATGGATGACACTAGCTAAAGAAAAGTGTTGTCACCTCATCCCTCCCCCTTTTCATTTTTCTCGGCTGGGACTCAAGGCTGGCTATAGTTTTCACATAAATACCAATGATTAAATTAACTTACCATCATGGTTTTTACTTAGGACTGAAATTTTTCAGGATGTAAAACTTTCAATAATGAAACTGATAAATCTCTTAGCAAATTGCAGAATGTCTAGGACAAACTTTTCTTACTCTGCAGCTGCCCCTCAGCATCTAAAGAGTCTTCACTGGATGCTCCATATTTACCCGTAGTCATTCATTTGCTGATGACTAGGAATTTCACAACTGGCTCTACACATCTGTATTTAACTGTTTCCAAATACCCCTCTAATATTGCCTAAAAATATTGATTTGAAATATTCACCAAACAAAATACGTTTGCATTACCTAGTTGAACATGGCTTCTCTAAGTCTCGAAGATCAGAGGAAAGAGAGATCCTCCAAGTAACTTCTTGAGAAGACAGTTTAGTGATTTAACACAGTATATATTTCTGAGGAGACAATGAGGCCTCCTGTTTGGAACCCATGATAGTTCATTTTGTCACTATAGGTCAGTTCTTTATGCATTGGGAACAACCATACCCATCAAATGTGCTCGGTTAGAAGAGGAAGTTATGGTGCATCCATATATGCAAGGCCGTATCTTAACAATAGTGTTAAGCAATAGTGTTCCTTTTGCATATCTCATTTGTTTAAATAATTGGTTTAGGAAACAACTATTTCAGATGCATTCACATTAGAGGATATCTTAATTGTAGTTCACAGTATCAATATAGATGGCATGTTTACCAAGATGTGAGTATTATTTTAATGCTAGCTTATCTGATATATGATGATTGGTCACCATGTCACAAATGACATGTGACTCCAGCTTTCTGATCATATTTTTGTGTCCATGGTTCTCTACCTTCTTCCCTGTATTCTAGGTGTGTTTTTGTCTCCAGGGAACTTATCTGATGCTCCGTCTGGTGAATTTGGTTCCCCAGAAATTAAGTAATACTTACTCTCTTCTTCATATTATTGTTCTAAAGAAACCACTGCAGAGTGTAATGATCTATCATAAATAATAGAAGCTGTGCCCTATATCTTTCCATCCCTGACATATGATGATGTATTATTACCTAGAATCATAATATTGCTTTGCTTAGCTTTTCATTTCCTATTTATCTCCATAGCACATAAAAGCAAAAACCACTTTGTATCCCATTACCCACCCAACACACAAACAACATAATACACAAATTTTGTACACACCCTAAAAACTTTTGTCAAAAAAAATGAGATGTCAGAAATAAGGAATGCAAGGTCAAATATGAAAGAGTTTGAGCCACTAAGTTTTTCACAGCCTGGTAGAGAAGATGAGTTAGAGGTAAAGTTATAGCACAGCAGAGGACCTAATGGTCTGAACAATTTTGCAAGCACAGCTAAGACATTTTAACATTAAGGAAGAAAGAACCTCTTTAAATATCTCTTTTCTTATCAAATGGATAAGGAAGTTGTGGGTATGGAAGATTCAATTAAGACTGGCAAATCTATCTCTCATTGATTACCTCCTGAATGAGAGAGGCCCAGTTGCAGCCAAAGGAACACGAGTGTAATGGGATTGTGAAAGAGACTTATGGTTAATTGATGCTCAACACAGGGAAGCAAATGAATATTTGAAGAATGTCAGTGTGTGTGCTTCCACAGGGTGCAGAGCTCTCATTAGCTCTGTGTATGTACCAGATCTACACACTCAAAAACCCATCCCAATGTTTTTAATTTTACTGATATTTATTTATTACGAAGATCTGGCTCACATGCATTTGGAAGTTGTTGAGTTTATAATCAGCCAAACTCAAGGCCATCAGACTGACATTTTTAGAAGAGACAGCTGAAAAATTATACTTCGTGAAGAATTGGGTGTCACTCGAAGTTCAATATTAAGTGTGCATTATGGAGTATCTCATTTGTGTCTCCCTCCCTTGATCAATCAGAGAAATAATAAGAATAGTTGACATATAACAAAGTGTGATAAAGAGTGACCAAATTTCTGGAGCATGTCTCGTTCTTCCAAGCTGTGTTACTATGAGAAAATCATGCCACTTTTCCAAACTTCACTTTGTTCAATTTAATAGGAAAATTTGTGAATTCACCTTTTAAAGTATCAATCTGAAATACTTTACTAAAAATGAGGAATCTCAACTGTATTTATATTGTATATCATTTAGGAGTACCTACCTAAAAGCAGGAAATCAAATGATATGTAGTGAGCACTCATTTATTATAGTTTTTCTGCATTTGGTTTTTGCAAGAGTATTAAAGCGTTCCTAACCTAAATAATTCCCTTGGAATAATAGTGTATATGCTGTGATGGATAGAATCGGCTCCACCCTAGTCACTTAACTTGGTTTCTAAAAAAAGGAAAGGCTTAATCATATAAACCAACCTGTAAAAATGTTCAGGTATATATTCTTGGCTTGTCAGTCAAAAGCTGTGGGGATCAAACTTCATAAAGGATGGATAATTTTGGAAGGAAAGATTTAATATTAACAACTCAATTATATGAATCATTCTGCTAACTCAGGCAACAACAGAAACATTTAGGGGTTCCGTTTCTTCTCATTTTTCATGCCTTCTGTGTATCCATAGGCAACACTGCTTTATTCGGTGACTGGTTGGTGACCTTTCATGAATGTTCTACTTGGTATTACAGTAGCAGCTAATCAGCTTAATCTCTCAGAGAATTGGTTGGCTCTAACAATTGTTGGCCCACGTATAGATGGATAAATCTAGCCAGTTATGAGTTCTGTGAATGAGTTACTGAATTCCAATGCCCTCTAGCTTTCCTGTTTCTAAATAATAGATTTTGGATCACTGCTCTCTTGAGCAACTGCTAACCTTCTACTGCATTCTCTGTTCTCCCTGTCTTTGTCCATTATGGATTTTTTTTAGATGGGCTACATTTTGTCTCTCCTTTACTCTAAAGTAATGCTTGAAATTTAAGTTAAAAATCTTCCCAGATTTACCATTCACCATAGGTTGCTTTTCTAGTAAATTCTTCTTAGTGTGTAAATTTTACTTATCTTTAGTATACTTCTTACACACAGTAGCTACTCAATGCACGGTTATGTGATATATGTACTCGTGATGAAGTCAGCATGTTTGACTTCATCCTAAGAAATTTCCTAAAAACTACAGTCTTAAGCTGCTCAGTGACTGACATTTATCACTGAAAACACAAAACCTAGACGCATTGTCTACTGATGGACATATTCCATGTCAAGTGCGATGTGTACACAGATTGGTTAACCAGCAGAAGAAAAGGCCAAAAAATTATAGTAAAAGAACTTTGGTGTTTAGGAGACTCATCTGGTTGTATCTATCCCTTCTCAGTCAGTGAGGCTTGGAATAGGGTTTCAGCACTAACAGTAAAATGGGATGCTCAGAAGAAGAATGATAGCGAAGCGATGAGTTTACACTACGACAAAAATAAACTCACCTCTTCAGAGGGTACCAACAAGGTGAAGCTCAGAGTACACAAGCACATAAAGCTATCTTGGAGGAAACACTGGATCATGCTTTGGGTTCTGACTATTTCTCTAAGTTGTTGCACAATGGTGGGCACACTTTTTCCTTGTCACACTCGTTTATAAAATTAAATAAACACATTCATGTTTTCATGTACCTATGAAATCTTTATCTAACGTGCAATCCAATATCTTGTATAAAGGATACGATCGGTAGGTAGCTGTTGGTATTCTCCTTTTTTTTAATTTTCATTAGGTTTAGAATAATAAGAATTAAGAATATTTTCTGTAGTGTTTACTTATATTTGGCATCAGGTAGTGGGTTGACTTCACATGCGTATTAACCTTTCCCTGTGAATTGCAATGAACCTAGGGTTTAGAGGTGACCAATTGAACTAATTCATTAGTAGATATAGTTGTCAGTAAGTACATGGGCACCATGATGATCAAACAGATACATAATAGCCTTTGGTATCCTAGAGCTTACTCCACCATGTCACACAGTAACTGTAACAAGGATTTAATCTCCATGGTAACTTCCCTCCACATACACATATGAGGACATCAACAGCTAAAACTCTTATTTTAAGCAATAGCTATTTTTCCTCTCTTTTTTTATTCACCTCTCTGGAGTTATAAAAGGCTGTAATGCATGATAAGTTCCATTTACCTAATATCATCGACAAACTTTTCTGCCAGGAAAAGAAATGTCCAATGAAAGCAAATCAATGGGCCATGGAAGCAGCTTTTCCCAGCAGTGACCTAATCTGCCTGTTTCAAAGGGTGAGCAAATTGTGATTCAGTAGCAAATCGGGATTCCTGGAAATGATCAATTTATAAGCAGTGTTGTCTTTGTGTGCTTATCACAGAGGCCAAAATGGCCCTGTCTAAGAGGTGAAGAAGTTCTGGAGGACATCGGAGCCCTGGGCCCAGTGCTCATATCGCCTTAATCATATCTTGAAGCCTTAATTTTCTCATCTGTGAAATGGTAAGAGTGAATGTTTCCCAGGATTCCTGAGTAAGTTTTTGAATATTTGCTTCTAATCTATTCACATGAAGGCTTTTATGCACTTTGTATTGCTACATAAAAATAAGGTTCCATGCATCCTGTTCTGATACCTGCCTAATTCCTTCAGGAATCTAAATTTGAATTTGCTCCTTTTCTTTCTTCCGATTTTTCCTTCCCTCAGCTGAGAGAACCACAAAGGGGGAGATGTATAAATATTTATTTAGTGTGCAAAACGCAAGACATTTTTTTATGTTCTGTTTACTGCCATATCCCTAGACTAAGAACAAGAGTTAACTTATATCCGCATTCAGTAAGCTTGCTATATGAATGCAATCTTGCTTTTTTTTTTTTGGAGGGGGTAGTGGCAGACTTTGAGACAAGGTTTATCATATAAATAGTTCACTGTGGAAGTGAGTTTAGGAAAAACCACCTGAAGAATAGGAGAAGTAAGCCCAGGAAGGAACCAATAGAGCAAATTCACATTAAAGAAGAAGCAATATCCACCACTGGCAAGTAAAGCTAATTCATGCTGAGGAGACATGGGGCTACTGGGGTTCCACATTTCATAATTCCTTGCCCAGCAGAGTTATGGGGACACCAAAGCTATTACACCTATCAATACATGAGGCAGCTTGTCCTCCAAAGACTTTCTGCCCATCTCTTTCAGGAACAGGAGAAGGTTCTCCAGCCAGGAAATGACCACAGGTGAGTCTCTTTGCAGCTGAGTCTCAGAGTCTACCTCAATGGTGTGTGTGTGTGTGTGTGTGTGTGTGTGTGTGTGTGTGTGTGTGTGTGTGAATTTATTTTAAAGCTAAATTTAGAATAAGAAAAACGTAAAAGAAAACAAAAATTTCACGGACTAGAGCAGAACCATATGAAAAAGAAATTGTTGAATCTTTTTTGAACCTAATTTGTCTCCCCAAACACAGAGAGAACTAATAAAGACGGAATTTGAGAACAATTAACTGCTAAACATTGTCAGTATGTAATAATATTTCAGTGATCAAGGTTCAATCTCTGTCTGGATTAGCCATTAAAGAATAGTTTCAAAATTACCAACTGAAAAGTAGCTGAAGAAAAAACTTTAAAAAAAATTATCTGAACACTCACCATGAGTCAAAATCCTGTCAATTTGCTATGACATATGCTGCCTGTTAGGATGATCTCTGGCCTCACTAAGCCTAATGGATGATGATTTCAAATGTCAGATTTTCCTTGTTTTCATTTGACCCCTGAGTTTCAGAGTAAATTACATTTATCACAGAAAGGTCAGCTAATTTTTCATGGGAAACGTGCAGAGAAGAGGTGGGACATTTAATGGTTAATGGGAGTTGGCTTTTCTGAACCTTAGCCAGCTGATGTACATCTCTGCCTTTGCACAAGGAACATCCTGCTGAAATCAGGCAAAGAAAATGTGTTGGAATCAAAGAAACTTTTATAGCCAAGCCACTGCTGCTTGGGCCTCATCTAGTATGAAGCTGTATCATTCTGGACCAAGAGTATATACCAGCAGGTACCCTTAAGGCTTGCATCCTCTGGCGACAGTTAGGCGTGGAAAACACTGTAACACCACTGCCAAGTGGATAGTTATTTCTCAAACAGGATCTATCTGTTGCTCCACTCTATCTCATGGCTTTGAGTCCACAACATTTCAGAGATAAGCCTGAGTATATGGAAAAGAGAGGAAAATGTGTTGCTGGTCTTGGAGGGACACTGTTACAGAATGTCTTCTTTTATACCAATCTATCTTAGTAAGGGCATTAAGAGTGTGTGTGTGTGTGTGTGTGTGTGTGTGTGTGTGTGTGTGTGTGCGTGCGTATAAACTCAATTACCAGAACTGTGGAACAAAGAAGAAAATTCCAAGAACAATTTAAAAGACATTGATTATATGTCTATAATATGTCCAAGATTCTAGACACACAAAGACAGTTTCAAATCATTCTTAGTGGTCAGATTTTACAAGGTAGGCAAGACATATCAGGAAATAAATTTCTTCCTCCAGTGTCAAAACAGTCCTGCACAAACTCAAGCCAGAAATCCTTTCTTTCAGAAGGCTTTACAGGAAATCTCCTTCCAGAATGACCCCGTAAAGATGCCCTTAGATGTTTCTGGAGATAGGTGTTTGCTGCCTCGTCTTTCCCACCACACCTGCTAAAAGGACAGCTCCTTGTGGATACAGACATTTTTTCAGCACTTTGTTCCCAGAATTTATAAAAATATAAACAGCAGGCTTGTAAAACATTTTAAAACATTTAAACATGTGTAATTGTGAGGACACAAAATCTAAAGGCAGCTCTTTTTTTTTTCTTTAGGAAAGATTAATGTTGACTTGTCTTGTTGATACTCTCAGGGAAAACTTCTATTGCTTTTCATTATAAACTTTCAAAAAGGAGATTTGTGATGATCCTGAAGAACAGATGACACTGTATCCTTTGTGCCCTAGACGTCAAAGGTCACGTAAGATGGGCATTGCTAGAAAGCAACTCACACAAGATAGATAGTCATGGAACCCAATACCCAAAAGATCATGTTGATCACCTAAGGCTGCTGTGAAGTAAAAGAAAACAGAAGAGTTGGACCTTCGGGTTGTTACAAGGGTTATGTTACAAGAGGTATGACCCAACAGCATCCACTTTCCATTTTCTTCCTCATCTAGCCCATGATCACAATGGTGACCTAGATCTGCATCTCCTGTCGCCATTACCCTCCTCCCTTCTCTCACACTGACACAACTGACAGACACACGCCACCGAACACAGGGGTGTGCCACCTGACTCACTGAATGTTTCATGTGCAACTTCAGCCAGCTTATTTTGGTTTTCTGATTTCTTTGATTCATTCTCATGTCACACATCCATCACAGCTATAAAATTTAGAGGAGAAAATCATATTGGCACCGTACTGCTGGATGTGTATCCTGTGTTTTGGTGGGCTGGCAGTGGACCGTTCTCTTTTTGAATGAAGGAAGTCATCCTGAACACACACTCATTTCTGATAATTGCTTTTTCTTTTCTATCACAACATGCCGGAGGAAGTATTTCTTCCTTTCCCTTCTGTTCGTTGCATTACTTATTAATAGGTTGTGAGTTCTGTATTTTTAGTTCTGTTTTTTTTTTTTTTTTTTTTTTTTTTTTACTTTGAGCAGAGAAATTTGCAGAGAGAAGTACTGTTTGGAGATGAAGGATTCTGAGGAGGGTTTAGAAATAAGATACTTGCTTCAACACCTGGCAGAAACAAAAGAAAAATGTAACTTTGCAAAATGCCCTTGGAGATGGTATTCATTGTGCCTTTCTCAGGGACTATGCAAAGTAAGCCTGCCAAGTTTTGTTTTTCCAGTTCGTGTGTGTGTGTGTGTGTGTGTGTGTGTGTGTGTGTGTGTGTGTTGGGAGTGGAATTTAAACAGAGCTGTAGTGTGTGTATGTCTAGGTGGGCATCTTTCTATGTATGGGGGCATACATGTATGCGTGAGTGCATGTGTGTTTATATATATGTGTGGAGGCCCAAGAATGGTGTCTAGAATTATCCTTACTAACTAACATCTTATTAATTGTTGCAGGGCCTCTCAATCAAGAGCTTACCTATATGACTAGTCTCACTAGCCAGATTGCTGTATCTGAATATTCTCCATCTCCAGCTTCTGAAACTAGAATTCCAGGAGGATCACCATACCCACCCAACATGCTTGGGTTCTGAGAATCCTAACTCATATTTTTATGCTTAGGAGTACTTTAGGCACCGAGTCATCTCCCCATACAAGATCAAGTTCTACTTGGTTGTTTGGCAGATGAACATCTGACATTTGGAAATCACTTAACCAAGTCTACATACATAGAAAATCGTGGGTCTTGGTTATCATGGATTGCAGTCCTATACCTTATAATTTCTTTTTAAAGAAAGAATAGAAACAGACAGAGTAAGACTGTTATCCTAAATATAATAACAGTGAGTATGAGATCCTGTATTTGGTCACCATTCAATAACCACAATACAGAACCAGTAAACAGTTCTTTTTATTGTACAAATGATATATTAACTCTTTTAGTAGTAATTTATTTACTTTTAGGTTTTTAATTTACAAATTACAATTATATATGTAAAGAGCACAATGCAATGTTTTGCTATTTATGTGAAATATACATGTTTAGGTGTTAAAATTCTATGGATAAAACTAAATAAAGCTAATGGAGAAAAAAACAAAAAAACCCAAAACAATGGGATTATCAGTCAATCATAATTTTAAACTCAAGTACCATCCATCAGGGTGGGAATAAGGTGATGGTTTAGTCAATGCAAGTTTCTACTACAAAATGACACTGGCTCCATAACTTAAAAGTAGTTATTTCTCATCTTTCTAAGGTTCTAAAGGATAGAAGCCTAATCACAACCAGATTCAGAGAGGGTCTTCTTCCTCCTTACAGATAGTCATGCTACTGCTCTGAACACAAAGGACCCTTGTATCAAAGGACTCTGAGATAAATCTCTCTCATCACTTTTTCTTAGAAGCAAGCTAATACTACAAGATATCCACCCACATGGTTTTAATGATTCCAGAAAGGCTCCAAATCCAAATAGCTTCACATTGGAATAGGGATACAGCATGCAGATCTTTTTATAATGAAAGCCATGTGTTTCATTTATTAAATAGCAGAGAAAATTAGATAGACCAGGGAAACGAGAGAGAAGCTTGCTTAACCTAAATTACATATCTGGAAGTTCTTGCTTCACCAAGTAACCAATCTAGGTATTGAAAGTCTAAGAACATCCCCCCCCCCTCTCTCTCTCACCTTTAATCCTAGCACTTGGGAGACAGAAAGAGGCAGATCTCTGTAAGTTTGAGACCAGCTTGGTCTGCAAGAGCTAGTTCCAGGACAGCTAGGACTGTTACACAGAGAAACTCTGTCTCAAATATATATATGGGCTGGAGATATGGCTCAGTGGTTAAGAGCACTGACTGTTCTTTCAGAGGACCTGGGTTCAGTTCCCACCACCCACATGGTAGCTCACAACTGTCTGAAGATCCAGTTGCAGGGGATCTGGCACCTTCACACCAACGCACATGAAATAAAGTTAAATAAACCATAAAAATATTTTAAAAATTAGTTAGTGAGAAAAGTGATTAGCATAATCTCTTTCAGAATGGAGTGGGTTAGGAGGTCAGATAATCTGGTTCCTATCTCATTGTTTTCTGGATTTCAAGTCTTCTTTCTGTAACATAAAAAAATCTAATATAGAGCTTCAGTTAAGACATGTTTACCATGAAGAGTTAGTGGGTCCACAGGAATGGGTGGATCCTTGTAGGAACATCCTCTATCCATGATGGACCATAGAGATTCCCAATCATCAGTATCCATTAAGACTTTGTCATGAAGACAAGAATCATGTCCTATCTAAATGACAGCATTTCTTGGCACTGCTCACATCCTCCTGATCTTACATTCTTTTCAGTCCTACTTCTAAAATGTTCTCTGGTCCTTGGTCCCACCTTAAAGCTGAGTGCTCAGCATCCACTTACATTCAGCACTTTGAATATGCCAATACAATATGGAATATTTTGAAAGAAGAGTTTCAGAGTGAAAGAAATGGAGATGCCAGAAGGTAATAGAAGGTGAAAGAAGGTAAATAGGTTTATAATATATTGCAAACAAATATAAAACCATCCCAATTCTAGGCTATATCCAAAGAGATATCCATGTACTCATATTTATCACTCCTGTTTCCAATAGGTAAGATGAAATAGGTCTTGATGCCCCTTAACAAATGAATCAGTAAAAAAAACTTCCACATCAACAATGTAGTGTTATTTATCCATGAGGTAGAATGAAATTCCAGTATTTTCAATAAAATGCCTTGTCATTGAGTTAAAGTGAAATAAACAAATGCACAAAAACAATTACTTTTTTTCTTCTTGAAACAATGTTATTCTGAATATAGGATACTAAATAGAAGGGATTAGCGAGTGTCTCAGGAAAAAGATAGGTTGAATAATGCTTAACAGATACAGAGCAAAGGGATAAGTTCCAACACACAGTAAGGTTATTGCAGTTCACAGTAAACTTTTGTATATTTTGCAAAACTGTATACAAGAATAGATACATGAAGGGCCCACAGAAAAATTATTGCTGAAGTTGCCTAAAGAAGGTGAGACAGCCCTTCAGGGTTTCTACTTCATAAAAGAGTCTACCAGACATTCTTCAGGACACAGAAGAAAGTGACTGACAAACTGCCAATATAGGTGAAAATGTCTTTGAAATTTCCTGCTTCATGGAAAAGTCTGCCAGATACTATGAGCCAGCAGAGTGAAGATGGGTGCCCACAATGTTTCAGTAGAACTTTGGGTGACTGTCCAGGCAGTGAAATATCTCTGTTAATTCTAGAGTTTTAGAAGTTGCTTACAATGCACTTCCTGTTTACTTACTTAGTACTATATGCTTCTGGAGTCTTTGATGGAGTTGAAGAATAGATAGTTATAGTTTTCCTTAGTTATGATAAAAGATAAAGTAGATATAAATATTGTAACTGTAATTCTTGCTTGATAACGATTTGGGTATATGTAATTTTCTATGTTAAAGTTGGAACCTTCCTTTTTATTTAAACAGAAAAGGGGAAATGAAAAAAAAAAGAATAGATACATATATGAAAAATGTCAAGCATTAATTAACCCTATAAATCATATTGTACATTGCTGAGATAACATAGTGGCATTAACACAAGTACTATATGTTATTAGGAAAATAATAAGATAAAACTAAAAAGCACTCAAGAGAAAATGAAATGAAAGAATGAGACTGGGAGTCAATGTTAGAACACTTGTTCAGAATGATTAAGGCACTTTTTTGATCCTTGAAAACCAAAATTTAACAAAGGGAAAAATTCCTATGGAGATCTAAAGATTTATACATGTCAGAACATGTTAACATGCAGAATCAAAAAAATTACTTATAAAAATCACAAAAAATATTCTTTAACCAGCACTTAGAGCTCATTCTAATAGATTACTTCCTTGGGGTTTTCTTTTCCTAATATTTGATGATAGTGGGGAGAAAAAGAGAGAATATACCACTGACCTAAGATACCTGCACCATGTGCTCCTCAATTTCTGAGTACAGTGTCTTTTCTATGATCAAACAAGACTGCCGCATGCTCTCAAGCAAAGATGATTTCTGAGACTTTTCAAATAAACATCAATATGATCATTGTGAATGCAGACAATTCCATCAACAGAAACACACACCCCAGAAACGATGCACCCCATAGCATCAGCCCTCTGGCTTTCCCGAAGTCATGACAGATGCTCCACAGCCTGTGGAGCCCCAGAATGATACTAGCACCTGTGCCTTGACTCCTGCTAATTAAGCCACCTATCACCTGACCAACCGTGCATCCCAAGTCGGGATTGCTCTAAGAAAAGCGGCAGTCACACTAATCACTCACTGTGAGTGGAGAGGATTTCAGACACAAACAGGTTTCCCCAGCGCTTCCTGCTCCTACAGGGAAGGAGACACATTCCACTCTGAAAGCTAGAACACGGTTTATTGGAGATTAGTGTCAGAGCTAGTTCTGAGTGTGTTTTAAAAAACATAGTTTATAGATCATTTAGGTAAGGCATTCACAGCTAAAGTGTACATTAAAATTACTCATGGAACATTTTGAATTGCAGATTCTTCAACTCCGACCTAGACCTTTGAATCAAATTTTCCCAAGATCAGACAGGATTTAGATATGCAAGAATCCTTATTTCATTTCTTTTAATGATTGTTCTAGCAGAACGCCAGTCTCTGAAACAAATAAAGATGCTCATGTCTATCCTTGCAAGAAGGTAATTTTATGACTAGATTTCAATCTTAAATGTTAAAAATAAAATATACAATTTGATAATTTGTGCACTGGTGCTCTTATGATATAATTCTGCTTCAGATACAACCACGCTAGAGAGAAAGAGGGGCCATCCATTATCGTCGTGATGAACTGAGGATATCAGAGTATCTGACATCACAGCAGATAAGAAGTTGACAAAGGGGTCACAGTAAAGACCCAGGACATAAGGAGCTCCAAAGAGAGGGCTCCAATGAGCTACTTACTCCAACTCTGCCTCACTACTACACTTTGCCACCTCCAAAATTACCACTATACCATGATTCCATAAATCAATTCATTCATTTGCTAGGTGACCTAGTTTTTACTGGTGACTTCATTATTACCTTAACATCGGTGATCTGATCATTACTAGAAAGGAATAGTCTCTGTCTCACAAACATACCGATAAGAGAGACAGAGAAACAGACAGAGAGGGGTGAGTTACAAATCTCCTAGGTATTTCTTAATCAAATCAAGATAGCAATCAGTATTAGCCATGACATTTATGTATCATTGCAGGCCCACAAAGAACACTAAAATGCTGGTGAATATCCATTTCTGGAATCATACATCTGATTTATATACTCACCACTCTACTTATCTAGCACAATATTATGAAAGCAAAACTAAATTAATAGCAGCATAGCAAAAAAAAAATGATCTTACATTGGTGTCTGTTTCAATTCATCACATTCTGTGTAACCTATTGCTACTTAGCTAACCTCAGGGTCCTCAACTGCAAACAGAGGATTACATTAGTGCTCACTGGGTTTACATATTTGTGAGATCCACTCATAATAAAGCATAAATGAAGTTTGCTTTGATATTGGCACAACCTTGGTGTGTACATACTTGGCCAATATAATGTATGCTTACTGTGCAAAGCCAGAGAAAAGAGTGTCTACTTGCCGTGAATACTAAAGTCCAAATATCCTGTGTCTAAATTCTTACCAAGTCACCTTCGAAGTGCTATTATCTGCTTGCCAGCTCTGGTCAGAGGGCCAGTGGACCAATATGAGTGTACAGGAGGCTGAGAATGATACCGAGTCACGGCACCAATGTTATTCTTAAAAAACGATTAGAGAGCGGCTACAAACGGTCCCCAGGCGGGCTGGCGGAGCCCGCCATGGGAAAGCTGCTACAAACGATCCCCCAGGCGGGCTGGCGGAGCCCGCCATGGGAAAGCGGCTACAGGAGGGCATGCTTCCTTGGCCCACTGTGGCAGCAGGTAACAGACACGTAAACACAGGAAATAGCCATAA